TTTACAGTTTGAGGCATTGGTAAGCTACTAGGGCAGCCCAAATAGTTCATATATAAGGCATTATTTCTTTGATCACCTGTTCCATTGAGGTAATTCAGTTTTCATCAACTGGATAAAGATACAGACGCTATAAACCATGAAGTTTATATAAGTTTTATTATTCCCAATTAAATTATTTTTTCTACAAAAGGCCTGTTCTTGAATAGTACAAAGTTTATTGGCTTTTCACGATGGTGTTTTATTATAATTTGTTGGTCAGATTATTAATTCAGATTTCTTACGAAATATGGATCATACAAGAATAAATTTATCTTCTACACATATATTGTATACGTGTTTAGAGTTATAAAACTACAATCATGCTTTTAAAGACTAACAAACTGATCAGTAACTCTTTTCTAAATTCTTTCTCTGAGATTTTACAAACACAGTCTTTCTCATTAATGTCTCACATCAACTCGGCGCCCGAATACTGTGAAACTATTCGATCAAATTTAGACGAAAGTTCTTATTTAATTGTAAATAACCAAACAGATTGTCTTCTCAGAAAGTGATTTCTTGAAATAGTATTTGACTTTGATATAAAATTCCAACTAAAGTTTCATTATTCCTCCCAAAAACCAATTCATCTTTAACATAGACAAGGATTAGATCATCACATAAATAATAATAGGACTATCTTCAATTTATACGATATTATAAGTGCAAAAATGAACATATTTTTGTATGGATGACTTTCAAGTAGTTGGTTATTTTTACTCAGTATAGATTTTCTGTAGAGAAATAATTCATTCTAGTTACAGTGTGGTGTGTGCTACTTATGTCGACATAAGTAGCATATAACGCTAGTCAAAAATAGAATGTCTGGCAGCAGAAGCTCAAGAAGATCGAGTAGGAAAGAACGAGAACAGAAAGTGATTGGTATGGAGATGTAAGAACACTAAAGTTTGAGACGATTGACTAATAGTTACAAAAGGGACAATCAAGTTTGGGACAATTAATTGACATTTTGTAAATTAAATATTCACTGTATGATTCTCAGATTTTACTAAGATGTTCTGTAATTTTGTGTTCAAATACATTCGATTGTCCCCACCTGTGTTCTCATTCAATACAACAGTTTTATGGAATATTTCCAAAATTTCTGCTTAGCGAGTTATTTTATAAAACTTTAAGTTATATTTACCTGAAAAATAGTGTTACATCGAGATAACGTTTGAACGTGTGATTTATCTGTAGAAGACTGTTCATATTTAAATGTTGAAAATTGCGAATGAAATTCATGGAAAGAAACTAAATCAATCTCTAGTTAACCATGGTGATTATTTAAATAAAAGATTAGAAATTATGTAAATCTAAACAAAATGAAAATCAGATGGTGATATTTTATGGCAAAATATAGAATAAGAAGACAGGTTTGAATCAACCATTGGGATAAATCAGTAGATACGTGCTTGTATTAACTGGTAAATTTTTACTTGTATAGATTCAAGTTTACATAAAGCAAAATGAATTCATGATATTGTACTCAGATCTTTATTCTTACAGTTTTCGAATGACTAGAGGAATTATGTGTGAAATCTTATGGACTGTTTTATTCATTTATCATAAATTTACTCTAGTCTTAAAGGGAATAGTGGTACAATATGGTAACTAATGTCAAATTTTCTCATCTGCCTAGCGCAGATCTACACATAGTTTTCATTCATGACTTCCTATCATAAACAGAAAGGGTAAAATGTATTATGCAAGTCAAGTAGTACATTACTTTACTGTAAACACAGGTTCATAAGCGATGATTATTATTATTACTAAAATGAACCTGGATAAATCTCGATTACAAACGACTTCGTTACAAAATCTCTAATCTTATATAAGAATTTTCATTTAGTTCACGTTATCTTCAACTTGAATTGTTGATGATATTTTTTAAGGTTTATTCCTTATTTTCATACTGTTTTAATGACGTATTTTGTCTGTTATCATTTAGGTAAATAAATTTATTAGCTAATGCTTGTTTGAACAACTAGTAATCTTACAAACGCCAACCCAAATTGTGATAATCTTAGCACCTTTCAAAAGGATCACAGAAAGTTCAACCTTTCGATGCTTGATTTACCTTTTATTTGTGGATTATTATCAGTGCTTCTAGGTTTTATCCTAGTATAGGTCTAATAAACCATCAGAACATCTTTTACTCTCTTCATTTTGAAGTTATCTGAACAAAACTCAGCTAGTTCAAGTCACTAAAACCTATCTTTAGATTATTTTGATGCGCGTTCAGACTAACTCACCACTTAGATGTCTTTCTTGTTTCTATATAACTTTGGAATTGTTCAAAAGAAAACAATTTGTGACTGTTACGATAAACATTCATAAAAAACATGTTTTTCAGTTTATCTTAAACGCGGTTTTCTACTTTGATTTTTATCCTGTAAACTTGTAGAGTATCAAAACGCATTTAATATTTCCAGATTTTTTTGAAGACAAAACACGTTTTTAACCTTAAAGACTAGAACTTGCAGTAAATTAAGTACTTACTAATTTCGATGGCTTAGAAAAATTGTGCAATAGGAGATCTAAGTGCACGTATAATTTGATTCTATTCAAAAATGCTGATGTTGTAACATGAATTTGATTTCTTAGAGCAATAAAAAATATAACCATATGTAAGCACTTTGAGTAAGTTTTACTGATATCATGCAAAGAAATACAAAATTTCACACCACTGAGTCGTTTAAACTATATTTATTTATAGCTTTAGATAGAAATAATGAATTGATCATAACACTCAAATCAGATCACAATTACATGGTTTATTTGTAAATACGTTCTTGTCTAGCTGAGAATATAGTGTAAAAAAGAATCATCATCATACTCAATAAGAATGCTAGATAAACTGTTAATACTAATATGAAAGAAACAATCAGAATGGGTAGATTTATAAACGCACCCCAGCAAAAGAAAAACGAACATTGACGAAAACAATTGTACTTACCCTGAGGTGCTGTTTGCAATCTCTCTAAAAAGCTATTGACAAGAGTGTTAGATAGTAGAAAAATCCACACAAAACTAGTTAAATATACTTGAAATTGATTGTTCTTAGTCCAATGATACAGATACATATTATTCAGCAATAACGATATCTTATATTTGGTCTTTTTATGGGGCTCTAATTAAAGAGCGCCCAGTGTGTTGTTTTTTGATTTTATTATTGTCTTTGATAAAACATAAAGTGTGATGATATACTGGTTATTATTGCGTAAGCCCTAGAGATAAATATAATCTGTATTCAAAAACAATGTACACCTATGAATGTAAAAATAGCCCACCTCTCTATTCATATTCATTCAATTCATATGGGTGTGTACACATATTATGCAGTTCAGGTATGTACTTATGCTGCTGGAAAAGTGTGCATATATACATACGTATATCTACCTTTCTATTATATATATATATATATGTTTGTCAGTTAACAGATATTAGAACTTATGCTTTTACATCAGCCTACAAAAATTACGATTTACTTTTTTATGTTGTTTTTTAATGGTTCCTTCTTAGTGTTTCTCATTCGATATTTTCGACCTGCCTTTCATACAGCAATATTTAATGTAGCACATACACCTCTCCTACAAAAATATGTACACAAAATTCGGACTAGAATGAAATTTTTTTTTGCTTTGTTGTATTCAGCATTATATATCCAGGTATCATAAAATAAGTAAAAAGAAATAAGGTAGGTGGGATGGGAGATAAGTGCCAACATTTGGCCCGGATAATAGCTAATATTCAATCATTGAATAAATAAAGCATGCATCGAAGCACATAATGCAATAATGTGTTTGTGTGTGGTTATCTTTAATAAAGTATAACTTTGTTTTGAAAAATCTGTCCAAAATACAGAACGATCAACAACGCCAATTCATTCTCTTTTCTATGTCGTCGATTTACCTTAGAACTCAGAATAAATAGCATATAATTCAATAATGCAAAATACTGAATCTTTCTTTAAACTATACAACATTATTCATTGATGAGCCAGGTTCACTACATTGTAAAGAAAGAAACTTAAAGTTTTTTGGTTCCCAAACATAGCTTTTTGAAATGTCAGTGGGAAATATTGATTCAGAAATTTATAAATGCTAATATATATATATAATATATATATATATATATAATCTTATTTTCCGCGACAAATGACATGGTTATGTGTGCGTAGGTGTGCAGTAAAATATAATCGTATTACTTGTCAAACAACCAGTCCTGATCAGTATAAAGGATGAATCGCTTTATCAGGAAGCTTAAAGGTTAAAATTGTGCTATTCTAGTCTATAAAGCATACACCAAAGATATACATAATTAGGGAAGAGATTATTCAACATATTTTTAATTTAGTAATGTACCTTGTTTATATAATTTGGCTTCCAAATACAATGAGGGTTTAATCATTAGCATGGTAAATGAAGTTACGAAGTAAATGAAACAATGTAAGCGGATAGGAATAAAATAGACATTAGGAGATCGATAATAACGATTACTGTGTCAACATCATACTGCGAGATCACTTTTTCTGGACGAACCAATTAGTTAAGATAGTAAGTCTTGGATTTTGGTTCGAAATCCACTTATCCATATGGCTAAATAGAATAGTTCATGATGGAAACCCTAACGTCCAACCGTAAATCCTAATTCCTTACATTAAATAATCCTCATTTAATTCTATTGGTTAGGTAAATTTTTTCAACGTCACTTTAGAGTCGCTCAAAGAACATCCGTAAATTATAGTCTTGCTTACCATACTATATACATATATTTCGGGGATACTATGGGAAAACAAAACAAAGAAAATCCATGAAAAAAACTAATAGATACTTACACGTAAAAACAAATTATTGTTGATTACTAAAGTAACAATTTGGCAACTGGCTTCGGAAATATATACATATTTATCCGTTATGTCTATCCTCATCGAATGTCACAATTTTAGGTCCAAAGATTCACTAAAGAAAAACAATAACCTTTATTTATTATCTCAATGTACTAATTATGACAGAAAATTTGTAAGTTAGATAATTTACGATTTTCAGTAAAACAATGTATATCTATTATCTAGTTATCAAGCGTGTATGAAATACTACGTGAAGATAAAATTTAGATGAAATATTTAGATACTGAGTTTACTGTAATTTAGAAAAGTGAATTAATAACAAGGATGAGTATTTGGGTGTATCTTTATGATCCATCTTATAGATAATAAGATACTATAGGGATATTGAAAGATCTGTTAGAGAAGAGATTTTAACCCGTTTTGAACACGGTCAACAGATAGCTCCAAGTAGAATATTTCGTCAAGTGACCACAATTTTATCTGAAAACACCAAAATTATAAGAATGTCACTTCTGAAGGCTCCAACTGAAAATTTAGTAGTTCCTAAAATATAGCATGTTGGTTGCGTTTTTTCAAAGGATCTCTAAATAACATTTTTTTATATAAAGAGTAGTTACTTAAGTGATCGAATTGTGAATGATGCGTGAAATTGATTTTTTCTAATCGCCTGAGACATGTAATTACATTTTTAGGAGTCAGCCAGTCAAATTAAATTATACAAATCCGACTGTTAATCTCTATGCAAATAAATAATATAAAAGTGGTGTATTCACATACTATTGCAATTTATTTCCGTCGTCAAATAAATCCATGTCAGTACTGTTTGTGTTTTAACTAAGCTTCGTTAGAACCAGGGTTTTAAGTACTAAGTGCAAGTCAGCACTCAGAGGACACTTACATACATAACAATTCTTAATTTCCTTTATATAAAAACCTCATTGTGACTTATATAACATAAAAGGAGAAAAAATGTGTCTGCTTTCGAAAGTGATCTGTAAAACCCGTTGTCTGGAAATTAATAGTAAAACTGTGATATAATAGATAGTCTTAAAGTAACAATTTGGGTCATTCACTATGTAAGATTAATTCTTTAATAAAATCTCCATCAGCTCATCAAACACTTGTCATATAGAGAAGGCACTTGATATTGCTAGGGAAATTACCAAATGTGTTTTTACGATAAAACAGTATTTAACTAATCTCTGACAATAAAAGTATATGAAAACCATTTGCCTTTAGAACGAACTGTAGATAAAGATGCCATATGAAGCGACTAAACTGTTTCCTTTATTACATCTTTGAGAAAGTTGTCTTTGCAAAGTTTGCGCTTATCAATTATATGTATGTATGTTCATCAAGAGTATCCAATCCTTTACGTGAACATTCTAGACAAGTTTTTTACAATATTTAGTAATCCAGACACTACTAACAAACCTTTTGATAGACAATATGAAATCAAGGTTCAAATATAACATGAAATTTGAAGGTACAAGTCGATAAATTATTGACCAAAAGAAATAAATATACATCACAATGTTACTGATAAATCCTATTTAATCTAATTTTGAATAGATAATTTAGTTTTCCAGTTACCCGTTGATGTGCTGCACTACACTTTTTATATATGTGTTTAAGAAAAGACAATAAAAATATTTGCAGAATACAATTGGATTCACTTTTTACTTAAATTTATCGAGGGAATCAGTTGCACGATGATTTTTATGTACCGAAAGTAGCAATATAGCTAGATGCTTTAGGGTTAACTGACGATATGCTCACTTGATACCTTCTATGATTCACCATATAAATTTTAAGCAACTCAGTATTTCCCATTGTAATAGATCAGTACCAAAGTTCAAAACTGCAATTTCAAACAAATATTCTGCATATGACATTACTACTTATATGAGACATGGATGTATGCACTTCAATATTTGCAAACAATTAGAATAACTACTGATGGAAAGTCAACACCAGATGCTTGAACCTAATTGTCTGGTACAGTATTATTATTGTCAAAATACATAGAAGTATTCGATGAACAAAAATGGATAACGGAAACAGTAATGACTAACTCGTGTTATCTATTTATGGATACAATGTATGTATGTCGATTAGCTTTGATAGCTTGATGGATGATTAAAAAATTATGTTCAAATTGCATGCTACCTACTACGATTTAAGTAATACAGATAATAACGCAAAACTTTCGAAAGTCACGCTCACCAACAGAACTGATCAGCTTACGACTTTCATGATAAACCATGAGCAAGAGAAATCAATACAAGAAAACCGAAAGTATTTGTAATCACTTACACTATTATATCTGTGACAAATTTGAACATGAGTAGTGACAATGGGGATCGTCAGTATCATATCACATGATGATGCTCTATAAGTCCTCATACGAATGTGAATCAACTTAAACTTGAAAAACGATATAACATCAGTTGAGACAAACGTCATTAAAACTTTATGAAAAATAGAAACCGTGGAATACTGGCATGTCTGAACTCAGTTGTTGACGGTAATTGCCAGGAAACTTGAACATAATCTTTTAACTAGCTGGAACTTGCCAGCACATCACACTTGAAATTTGGAGGAAATTGATCCCCAAGACGAAATTCGAACGTGAGTAACCCAGTACCATTGTCAAATGCGTTATTAATAAGCTATTTGAGCCGCAACTAACACGCAGGATTTAGATTGTTACAATGAATGACCACTGAGTAGTAACCAATATCATGCTCTTCTAGAACTTAGTGACGATCGAATTCTGTCGACCTGGGCAAAATGAAGTAAATAAGCTTAGTTAATGGTGTGCGGGAGGTTACTATTTCTCGGTCGACCATATAACAGAAAGATCCTTCTTCCTGATGTACCTGAAAAAGAAACTGGATTACCAGCGATCTCAGTAATCTGGTACGGAGCTGAAACTTAGAGAACAACTGCAACCATCATCGAAACAGTACAAGTATTTATAAACAATTGTCTACACAGAGTAGCCAAGATCCGTTGACCGGATACCATCAGCAACAACCTACTGTGACAGAGAACAAACCAACTTCCATCTGGAAGATAAATTAAGGAAAGATGTCGAAGGCGGATAGGACATACATTGCGGAAACCATTAAACTGCATCACGAAGCAAGTCCTAACTTGGCATCATGAAGGGAAAAGAAAAGGAGGAATACCAAGGGACACATAGCGTTGGGAATGGGAGGTACATCAAAAGAATGAATAGCGATTTTAAACAACTGGCGGGGACGGCCCAGAACAGAGATGGTTGGAGAATTCTGGTGTGGGAGCGCAGTTTCGGAGTCCGAATGACAACTTCCTGGGGTGGGCCACAAACTAATTTTCAGTCTTTGATGTGTTAAATCCGCACTTTAACGAGTTTACCCCCAGCAATGGAAATTCATGGGGTGAGGTGTGTTATCTTTAAGACCGATCTCCTCTAGCTCCTTCGCTTTATTCTAAGAATGCAGTGTTAATGCAGATAATGGCTGTCTGGGGAAGCACCCCGCTGTTGTTTTACTTTAGCACCATCGGCAATACGACTACGCTCTCGGACTTAGGGTTGTTGCTTTTAGTACTATCAATTCCTAACAAGCCTTTCTGACATGGTAGTACCTAGAGGAACAAGGGTTTTGATGTATCAGAGCAAAGACTGGAGAAATAGTAACTTCCGTAACTATTTTATGGGTCAATACTGTATACACTCCTATTGAGTAATTACTGTATAACTGGAATACCCCTTTTGACTTCCGTTTAATTTTTTCTGTTAACTCACTAACCGTTATTGTACAGCTAATATTCTTAATTTATTTTATAGTGTAATGTGGTCCAATACATCTGTGTATAAACCCACATGTGCTTGAAATAAGTAATGATAAAAGCCTAGTTAATGACTTCTCTTCGGACTCAAAGCGAAGTACAAAGAAAAGCTTGCAGATAGGTGGACCAATAGGATTGTAGCTTAGGTAAACTAAAGGTTAACTGTGCATGTCATAACGTATGCTTAGTCAAGTCTACAACGCTAGGCTATGGACGGAATATAAATAAAAATAATATATTTGTAATATCCCAATGAGTAGAAAATCAGATGTTTCTGATTCCCAGAAGAAGTAGCTCACACTGAGCCACGAAACGCCAGAAAGACCTAATTTTCTACTCATTTGGATATTACAAATATATTATTTTTATTTATAGCAATCTACCCAACGCTCATTTTATTTGAAATTATTAAGTCAAACCTTAGTAATGATACCTATGGACGGAATAGTTGGCGCGAAATATAAAAAAACTATTGTCGGGTTTCCGGTTGATGAATTTAGCATGTGATATTGCATAGAATCTCAAGATGACATGTTTCACCCAACATAGCTCTCTTGAGTCACCACAGCATACAAGCCCGACCACTTAGTGAAGGGATTAACTACGATCAAGTAGTTGTAAATACGTTTCTTAATAGAATAATCTTAAAGACCAATCACTTTCGTTACTCTCACTAATTTTATTTATAAACATGTGAAGGACTTATTCTACTCACAAATTAGGCATAATCTCGGATAATATACACTATTGACTAGTAAATACAACACAAGATGGAACGTAATTTGCTGTATATCAGGAGATTAAGAATCCTCATACGCAAAGCACTACATTGGGCTTAGGAAACATAGACGCGAGAAATTTACCAATCAACTCCACATGTGCACACGGTGCGTGTAAGTAACTGAAATGTAACACCTCATGAACTAGTATAGGTGGTTTTCCTTGCACAGTTTAACGACAAAAACCCGTACTTAGCAGACTGGATTATTTATTTAACCGTCGGGTAGTAGACATGAATTAGATATATCTGTTAAGTTTTGGGTAGTCAGGGCATATTGTTAGCCCCTAACCAACAAATGTTGTTCAGAGAAAGTTCACGGACATATGGGTAGTTAATGAGTTGTTCTTCATAGTTAATTATCATTCAATAAAGCAAACACTATCATTATTGAATAACCCCTAATTTTAGAAGACAGTGTTATGTCCCGATAAGAATAATGAATGGTAACTTTTGGGATCCATTTATGGACCAATACTATGCGTATATTTTTATCGTATAATTGTTAAATAATTAAACTATACATATTCATGTCCCTCCTATTATGAGCTCTGTTTTGACCTATGAATTAATATTACATGACTTACCATTATTGAATTATGCCCTGTCTATCAATTACTATCTCCTACATTCACGGCCACATTTGGCTAATTCTTGTACAAATGTTGTTTCATATTTTATGGTACAGTGTGGTTTGTCTGGTTGGTATATAAACCCAGTATGGTTGAAATAAATGATTCATACCGCAGAGGCTGAGATTGGTGTTTTGGACTTAACTGGCTGGGATAGGAAGGAAGCAGGACCGATAAGTATTCAAGACTGCTCGCACGGGCTTTATGTGTCATTGGTCCGGTCGATAATTCATTGCTCTCTAATTAGCGTTATCATCGCGTCATACATTAACAGGGCACATGGGTCACAAGTTATGACAGACAGAAAGTATATCGAAATGACTGTTTAACACTATAGTTAGAAAATATTACGTACGGTAACGTGGATAACATAATCGTAATTCACCAAATGCACGAATGAAGCTTAACTATAAGCCAGGATTATAAGTGCGATATAGAATACGGAACATACAAATATATCCAAAACAATCTGTTAAAGCTCATGTTTAAGGATTGAAATATATTTACAAGTGATCGTAATATTACGAGGGTTATTTAAGCGACCCATTTCATACACCGCGTATCTGAATGTATTTCATAACACTTCCTACTGCAGTATGGTAGACCACAAACTATACAGTTATATAGACCTTGAAAACCACAGACATTACAAAACTTCCTCCTGGGTAGCCTGCTCGGAGGAACGGCGGCCGTAAAATAGCAGGCACCAGTAGTCCCTCCTTTCGTTGCTTGATATTCTTCATCCAGTAAAATCTCAAACGTTTTTCTACAGCGTGCACGAATATTCGATATGCGTTTCTTTTTTCGGCGCTTGTTGTTGGCTGAAATATCTTCATCCTAAAAAGAAAAGTGGTAAACTGATGCTAAAGAACTATCCAAACCTCATCTCCAAATTGTGGTCTCTTCGTTCCTTTCACATCTGAGTGGGGTTCTTCAATGTGATTATCTTGTTCCAACAAGCTAAGAGTTTTTCTCTGTCTCCTCTCTTTAGCTGCATCATCTAAAGGACGTCTAGTAGCCTCACGCAAAAGTTCGCGTTTTTCCATATCATAAGATGCACTTACTTCATTTTTGCACATTAAAGGATATAAAAAAAATGAAAAAAGGTTAATATTCTAAAGCTACACTTGAGCTACATGCTGAATATAATTGGGACTTGCGTATTGGGAGAAAGGTATAAAGAACAATAGCTGTTATGGAAAAAGTTCGATTCTCTGAAACACGGTACGGATTAAACAGTAAATCCTAAACGGAAAGTATGCGGGACTCAGAAAAAATATATATCTGTATAAAAGACTATTGACTGATAACACTACTTAGATGCCCAAACTTCGTGGAGTCCGAAACAATGGCTCATAATTGACAGTAAGAATGCTTAAACCAATTAGAGAATACAGCAGTTTATATTCTGCCATACTGAGAGAAGCAGTTTCAATCTTGGCAATACCGCTTAGCGTTATGTTCTCACATTCGCTAAGTCGAGGCACATCACCGGAAATTTGTAAGTTGGCTCACATCACACCAATTTTCGAAGGAGTTCGCTGCGAACCTTCAAGCTACCGATCGGCAGCACTTACCTCTATACCCTCAAAATTATGGAGTCCCTGATATGCGACGGTATACACGACTACTCATTATCCATAAACTTCTTTTCATTCCCCAACAGCACGGTTTCGGAAAAGGTCACACTTGTATAGCCAACCTGTTGACTGTGGTAGAGAGATGGACAGCCATCTTTGATCGCAAAGGGAAGGTTGATGTCATATACTATGACTTCTCAAAAGCTTTTGATAGGGCCAACCACATATGTGTTATCAATAAGCTCAAACAACTAGGTATCAAATCACCTTTAATTTGTTGGCTCACCTTATATTTAAAATATCGATATTTTAAGGTCAGGGTCAACTTCACTTACTCTCAGGCTATGGAATGTCCTGGTGGGGTCCTCCAGAGTTCAGTACTAGGACCTCTGTTTTTTTATTTGTTTACGTAAACGACCTTCTAAAGCAGGCATCGTCAGATTTATTGCTTTTCGCTGATGATGTGAAACTCTGGAGAGAAGTACGTAACCAAGAGGGTAAACTGCCACTTTAGGAGGATCTGACTCGACTCTGAAGGTGGGCAGATGACAACAGGCTTACCTTTAACACTTCATAGTGTAAAGTAGTCCATCCGATACATTTTGCAGACTACAACTTATGTAACTCCCCTCTAGAGGTATCGCAAGTTGAGAAAGATCTGGGAGTGTTGGTACCCTATGATTTAAAGTGTTACGCCAACTGTGACAAAAATGCCCTCCGAGCAAACCTTGCACTGGTAACTTTGAAGCTCATTTCCGGTCAGTTCGACGGAGGAACTTTCGACACCATTTCCAACAGTTTTACTTGTCCTCATTTAGAGTACGAAAACATAGTATTTCCTCCCACATTCCAAAAGGATAAGGACACTCTGGAACGTATCCAACGGCGAGCCACGGAACCAGTTCGGGGACTCAAATTAAAGCCATATGAAGAGTGCCTCCAATCACTGAACCCTCACCCATTAGAGTACAAGCGTCTTAGAGGTAACCTTCTAATGGCCTACAACATCCTTGAAACTTCTGCACATCCCCATATATACCTACTTGAACTTAGTCCCAACACAAACCTTAGGGGTAATGCCCGGAAACTGAAGACAACACAGGAGAACAGATCATATACACACCTTCTACTCCTTAAGAGTAGTCAAATGCTAGAATTTGCTGCCAGCTGAGCTGGTTCAGGCGACTTCACAGAAGAACTGACATATTCTTAACGAGTAAAGACAGTAAGTCGACTTGCCAACTTTCTTCTTTTTCTCCTTTTATCGTTAGTATACCTAGGTTCCTACCTGGAGGTATCGGTGATCCACTGTTACTAGATACAGAAGCCCGTTAAGCGAAAGATCCTATTCGGTTCAGAACAATTCGAATCATGTTCAATAAGTACATTGCATCACCTGACAGGCACTTAGGAACGCATCACCAACCATATGTCAAATTTACGCCATTATTGTAAGAAACAAGACTAAAAGATGATAACAATATATCAGTTATATTACTCGAAGAGTCAGTTAAGGATACATATGCGAAGGTATTATGAAAAATACCAAATAAATAAATCCGTGCAGAGCTTTCTTCTATTTTTTGTATACACTACACTTTGGGTGATAGAATTTATAGTCTGTTTATGTGCGGCTAACACATTTGTTTCACAACTATATGTATCAGAAACAATTATTTTAAAATTTATTTTCCATATTCAATCGTTTTCGGATCACCAAGTAATAATGCTATTTTTACTGCATATGTTAATTAGTTGCAATCAACCTGTACTCCTGCAACCGATCAGTCTACGTTAGCAGAGCCACTATCTACTGGTCAAGGTCACTTTGAAGATAGAATATAGATATACTCACAGAACACTTAGCCCTCAAAAACTGTTAGGCCATGACTTGATAATAGTAAACTGAAAGTCCTTTGAAAATTTTTTCCAAATATATACAACCTGAGTTGTGAGGACTCGTTCGAGCATTGTAACAAACCCTGCAAATCAAGCGGCTTCCAACTACAGTTCAGGTCAATATCCAATAAGTCACAAATCTGTTCTTCAGTGCTTTGTCCAATATCAGAAACCAAATTGACATACTGTGTGCGTGGATTCTTTTTTGTATTTTAGTTGATCGCGTTTTATGGAATCAGGGATCGCACTAAAGGTTTATTCTGATGTGGTTTTCGTTAGAGATTAATTATTTGGGTCTGATTGTTTCCGGTTTTTATCTCAGTTTCAGTTGAGGAACGAAAAATGTTTACTGGGTTTCATAAACCTTTGGGAAAGGAGTCTCAAAGTTTATTCAACTTTCTTTAGGACCTGTCGGTAGATGGATCTATAACTTCATGTTGATGCAATCTAGAAACTGTGATCAAATCACATTAGATTGTTTTATATGACAAGTGGGATAGGCTTCGTTTCTCTAGTCACTAATCACACCGTAGTTTTAGAACACCGAAAATCAACTTGGTTGCGACTAACCAAACCGCTTCCGACGAATTTGTCTTTTCTGGACAAGAGCTGATTTTCTACATTAAAACACTAGACTTAAGGGTGATCGTATATTGTATCGGAAATCCAAAAGGATGACAGCTTTTTCAGGGCTGTGCGCAATGGCTTTCAAATAATAGATGACGAAGACCTCTGGGTCAATGTGTGTATGGACCACAGGGAACTCAACCTCATTTAGTGTGCATTTATCAGTGCCTTAGCAACTAATATGAATCATTATGCTATCAGTGAATATTCATCAGTGACTACCAAATTCTAGGACATTGCTAGTCGCTTTGAAGCTTCAATATGTCACCTCCGTTTTCCGCAGTACCTCATATCTTGATATCGTCAGCATATAACAGAATCGATTATAGGAGACTAGGATAGTCGGTTGGGTACAAGAGGAATATTATTTGTCTCGTGACTGTACCACGTGGGACTCTATCACTGACAGCTTTTCAGCTAGATGACTTGAAGTTGACAAGTTGTTCTGTGGGTTCGTTCAGTGTAATTGCTTTACAGTCCTTTGATCTGACCTCAGCTGAATGTAACCGCCGAAATCATAGTGTTTTATCTGAACAGAGTGCTCACGAACAAATTTGGTTGATAAGACCGGACTACATTCTTCTGTATAGCTTACGAAGCGTTTTTGAGTGACTAATATTCAATTGCATCAAAACTCAAATTCAGTGCCTAACTTATGGAAGAAAACAAATTATATCAAGGGTATAAATTACCTTAAACGACATAGCCTGTGCTATTCAGTCGCACGTTTCTCTGGCCCAAAGTGCATGTCAAAATACACTTGTACGTGCGCATGGACACAAAACGTGAGAATGAAAAATGACAAACTGGTATACATTCGTACTGCTAAATAAAAAAATTTTTGCTCACTACTTACACAAATATATGAAAAATTGAGGAAAAATAGTATTTGTTTCCAGTTTGTTTCTTGACACAACAATAAAAAACGAGATAAAACAAAATGTTGTGCAGTATTCTAGGCGCAGTAATCGTTTAAGTGTTCCAGAATCCTTGCTCTCCTTCCACAGCACGTTGTTTTAGACGGGTTGTCGAATTGCAGAGAAATTTATTCCTGATTACTGATTATCGGGTGGAGTACCGTAGTTGTAAGGCCCATGTCGCCGGAGTGCGTCGTAGGAAAACCAACACTAGTAGATTCCCCTTCCGAATATGTGATTTAAGGACGATCATTTCTGGTCAACATTAGCATTTCGGAAGTTAGGCGGTGCACTTTCGAGGATGCAGGTCGTTCTGTAGTCGTGGTGTTGTGAGTAGCATTGCTGGTTGCGCACGGTGTTTTTGGTTGCGTTTGGTACAGTTCGGGGTACTTGTTGAATTTTCGCTGGTAGAATTGATCGATCATTTGCTCAACAGTGACTGGAGATAATCAACGACCAGAAAGGAAAGTCACATAAACGTATAATCTAGCATAGCCATCTACTAGTCTTCGTTCGCACGTGTCAATGAGTAGATAATCGTGGGGCAGGTCTATCCTATGACTGGCATAAAAACATTTGCAACAACGAAAATCCAATGCATCGGTTTGCGTAAACCTGCCTTAATAGGAACATATCGCTTGCCGTATGTTGCGATTGTCTTTCCACTTTCCGCATGTAGGTTAGGATTAGGTTTCGAAGATGGTCGCTGGGATTCGAGGTAAGAAAGTTTACTTCTTCGTCAGTTTCGACGAGAAAGATAACTTTCATTATCATATCAGCGATGCACAGCAGACGGCCGTGTCTTCCGGCAACGTTTGCTGTCAACGCGCGCCGATGTAGAGGTTTCTCAAAGGCTGTTTAAGTCTCAGGAAGCTGCAGGGTTTTCTTCAGTTTCTCGAAAACGTGCCATACTTATCGTGGAACGAACACCAAACAGGATTACCAGCTTCTTATTGCGTAGAGGCAGATCTTTTTCGTGACGAGTTTCATTGAGGAGTTTGAGAGGGTATGTAGTGGCATTGG